AATAATAAATAAATAAATAAAATAAAGTGGGTGGTTTGCGGGTGCTCTGGTGTGGTTTGCTCTTTCTTTCCTATCAAACACCTATCGTCCTTATCCCTCCTTCTTCTTTTTTGTTTGTTACTCTCTTGTGACACCTCTAATCTTCTGGCGCTCATATGACCTTATGCTGTTGCGAGCGCCGTAAAACCTCTATTAAAACTAAACTAACTAAATGACTATTATTGTGTCGGTGTGCTTCTGTTTGCTCATAACAAAGAGGCATTGGTCATCGTGAAAAATTGACGCTCAAACTGACATTGTTACATTGTTTATAATACATTAAAAAGTTCGTGGCACAAATTCTCCTCAAATATCTCTATAACGGGTGAATCAATATAATGTCACCAGATTTTCCACTTCAGTTGATATCAATTTGTTTTATTGTAATCATATTTTTCCACAACGAATGAGGCTAGATGTTTTAAAAACTTTTCTTATATGAAATACTCTAAATCTCCTTCACGCGGAACACATGATTGTTCAGAGCACTTCCCGCTTCTCACACTAATTTTGTATATCATGTAAGTGGCCTACGTCACAGCTCACCAATGAAACTTTTTAGTTGCAAAATTTGTTACAGGAAATTAATTTTATAGTGCACGCATTTTTTAAATTTTTTTTTTTTTTTTGCTCTTAAGATTCTCAAAACTTGAGTTCAATAAAGATAGCGTCACAATTTGGAAAAAAAATGACGGACTTGCCTTTAAAAGCGATATTGCCCCAGCTGTAAACTTTTTTTAATTCCGTAGAAACCACCCACTTGGATTTTTTATTAGTATTATTTAGGAATTTTCGAGAATATAGTGTACAGGTGTTTGGAGAAATATTCATCTATTAAAACAAATTGATATAAGTCATTGTGCAAAAGTTGGAGAATCTATGTTCGATAGTTGAGGAGACATTTGACAATAAGTTGCGCTACGAATTCTTGACCACAGTATTAATTGAGCACCTCTCCCACCTGCAGGCGCGGACACTGACGTACCTGGGCTTGTACAAGTTCCCGTACGGTATCAGGGCTGTCATGGAGGCGACTCTGGACCACAATTACGTTTCCGCAACTTTTGGTGACGTCAAGGTGAGTGACGCTTGTTTTATTTGAATAGAATCTAATACTTTTTTGTATTAGTGTTCCCAATTGCATTATAAGGTTATAATATGAGCGTGCGAGACACATTAAACATTTTGAGTTGGTAGGAAATGTTGAAATTTACACGGGTGGCAGCGGAAGCCTTCTCTTATTGATTTTGGACCACCGAAGAATCTTTAACCTGCGCAACTTGCACACGTGACCTCCGAGCTTTTTCACCCTTATCCAAGAAAGCTAGGTGTAGATCTTTCCTGCCATAAGATCAGGGGTGTGTCTGAAAGACAGCAGTAAGAAGAAGCCAAGGAGTAGCAGTAGAAAGGCTGCAGAAAGAGTCAGATGCCCAGAGGAGGGGGCAATGGAGGTGAGGGGGTAGGGGCAGAAAGTGGAGAGGAAAACAGACGACAGAACATTGTTAGAGAGCAGGAACGAATGTGAAAGGATACATTTTTTTAAGGAAAAGAACATTTTCCGTCGCTATTTGGATTCGAACCCGGGACCTACTGAATGAGAGGCGAACATCTCTAGACCACGAGAGCCCCCATACTTTTTTTAAAAATTAGCTTCAGACGCTGCATACTGTAAAAAGAGATCGAAGCTCTTATCTTGTCAGTGTGTCAGCGTTTAGCGCTCAATGTGTTTCTCCTTGCTGTTTGCACTGTATGCTTCCCAGGAATTCTAGAATGTTTCTCGATAGTCTGGCTGTCTGGCTGGCTGTCTGCCTGTCTATCTGTCTGTATGTCTGTCTGTCAGTCAGTCAGTTTGTCTGTCTGTCTGTCTGTCTGTCTGTCTGTCTGTCTGTCTGTCTGTTTGTCTGGATATCTGTCTGTCTGTCTTGCTTTTCTTTAGCACTAAATAACGGTTGTCGTGTCGATGGATATTTAACTCACATTACAACTATGAGGTATGTCGTTTCTGGGAGAGGGTGGGAGGGGGCAGGTAGAAGATGGAAGCATGTTCATAAACTAAAGGCTTTTTAAAAAATAGCTAAATGAGTAGTTGGCGAGTGGTTTGATATAGTAAGTTCCTTCTTTCCTACCAAACATGTATCTTCTTTATCTCTCCTTTTCTTTTTTTTTTAAGTTTCGCTCTAATAACATCTCTAATCTTCGCCATTCATATGACCTACATACTCTTTTCAATCTAATCCAACCTCCCCCCACACAATGAGGTAAATAAGACAGAGAGCAGTCCACGTCACGCTTGCCTGCTTGTTCCTTGCCACCTCCTTTAAATCTAGGCCAAGGAGTACTGTATAGTACGCCTTGATCTAGGCACATCTAGGCCATGGGTGATTGCCTCTTCCCGCGTTTGTCCCTCTGTGATTGTTCCGTTTGGTCGACCTCTTTTTCTTTTTCCCGTCACGTAAAACTTTTACTAACACTATAAAGCTAAAAATCTCGGAGAACAAACGGGGCAAATACAGGGACTGGGTGCACTAC